CCACTGTACTATTACTATTAAAAATACTGTATGTACACACTTTTCCTGAAGATAGAAGAGTTTGTTGAATCTGACGTGACATGTTCGTACGAACCCTTTGTACGAACAAAAGTAAGAGAAATTTAGGAGAAGAATACGAACATGTTCTTACATGAGGCCCATCGTGTTGATTTTTGTTCTTTATGAAGGTAAAAATGTAACAAATAGGTGCAGAGTTGCTTCATTTTACATCTTGTGAAACACTCATCACATGTTAGAAAGGTAATCAGTCATTTAGGGTTTCTCCTCTGAAAACTGTTTTACTGTATATGCAACTCTAATGCTGTTTATACAGTATCTTAAACATATCTTACAAAAATAATTAGCATTTTTTACCTACTGTCAATGAAAGGTGTGTCTGCTTATAAGTCTGTCAGTAAAATATCTAATGAACTACTAGACACGTTTTCAAAAAACTTAGAAATCACTGAGTGTACTTCTAGGGTTGGGTGATACTGTGAATTTTTGTATCAATCCAATACTATGTAAATACAGGGCTAGTATCCCCAATTTAGATATTGATACCAATACTTACGGCAAATTGCTTGAACTTATATATCGCGCTTTATCAAGTCCACATGGATCCCAAGGRGCTTAACACCATGTTTTCACCCATCCACACACTGATGGTGGTAAATTCCAGCCACTATACTTATGTTCACTTATTAATTCTGTGATTTTGCCTTTAATTGTGTGAATGCTATACAAGCATTCACACTTGTGTTTTCATGATTCTTTTTATTATTCTTTAACTATTCCGTAGGTATTTCGCCACATTTATGGTTTCACAATTTTTGTGTTATTTCAACAATTCAACAATTCACACAACCCCTGGCAAAAGTATGGAATCAGCAGTCTTGGATGAGCTCTAATTCAGACATTTCATTCTGTAAAACAAACTCAGATCAAAAACATGATACAATAATAATAAGGTCATTCCAAAGGTCAACTTGTTGACTTTCAGGAACWCTCAAAGAAATGAAGAGAAAACATTGTGGAAGTCAGTGAATGTTACTTTTATTGACCAAGCACAGGGAAAAAATATGGAATCACTCAATTCTGAGGAAAAAAGTAAAGGATCGTAAAAAACCGATAAACAAAAGACCATTCAAAATACATCACTAGTATTTAGTTGCACCACCTTTGGCTTTTATAAGGGCTTGCAGTCTCTGAG